CACATCTGACTACCTGATGCAGCAGTTCATACTACACAATTTTTTGCCCCCATTTTCCCCTTACGACAATCTTAGATCGTTGGCCGATCTAAGATACTGGTGATTTCGTAACCGATCATCCTGCAGTGTGTGGTGTGTTACGGTAGATCGTCGTGGCCGCTCCGATCTAAATCAGGGGTTTTCCCCGACTGGGAGCTTAACGCTGAATGTGACAGGTAGCCAATCAGAAAGTGCGGATTCTCCTCCTGCTTTCTGAGGGGAAATTACAGAGGGGAATCCCAAACAGCTGACACGGCGCAACCCGAAGTCCAGCGGACATCGGAGATGATATGTGGAAACAACATTAATATTTATTTATTTCGTGCAAAGAATATAGAAATGACAAGGGGAGGAGTTGGAGCCAAATTGCTACCGCAGTTGATAAACCCAGTAAGTTTTCAGCTGTTCTTCGTTAACGTGACATAAAAAGGTTATGATTTTCATTCAGTCAGGACTTTACGCTGACTCTAGCCACATGCATCACAGGTAGATTCTAGTAAAGCATTAATTAATGCCCGATTTTAAAATTAGTTAACTGGACTTGTAGCCATTATTTTGTGCCAAGGTGGCTGGACACCACACGGCACGACGAACCCGATTGAACCATTATACCTAGGATTTCTGTCGGTTAATGTGTGGTCTCAAGTTTTGAAAATGGGCCGACAGTCGGCCGAAAACTCGTGTAGTGTGCGCTGGACATTACACTAAGGAAATCAGGAAGGGAGGGTCGGTGGAGAGCACCGGAGGTGAGACTTTTTTCATTCAGCGTCATCAACAGAAAGAAAAAAAGGCAGGAAGAGACGATAAAGCCGATAATTAAAATGAGGTAGATGGGTTTAATTTATTGTGCGATTAATTGATTTATCGTTTATTGTGACAGGTCTAGTAATAATAAATAAAACTTCTATGAAAATAAATAAAAGTCAGACATTCAAACATGCTTCAACAGAATTATCTTAAAAAATAAACTCATGAAATCGGCCTCAAATACAAAAACTTTCAAGGTGTATGAATAAGTCTGAATAAGTACCTCTATATGAAAAGAAAAATTGTATTTTGTTGTAAATAAAATAAACCTTCTAAACTCAATCAACTCAACCTATTGACCTTCTGTATTTCATCAACTCTGGTCTTTTTGACAGATAACACCAAGTGGAATACTGGAGTAGCTTCTCAGTCACTTAAGTGCTTCAGACATTAAACAGAGGATGTTGTCTGAGGATGAGATTTAATTTTCTAATATCCACTCCCATTTTCCAATTGCTCCATTATTGACTATCAAAGTCACTATTGTGACATTGTCATTGTTGTGTGATTATTCAAGTTTTACCCCTGTCACTTCCAATCATATTCAGAACTGAAAAAGCCTTTTGGATCAGAGGTGAAACATTCAAAAAACAATTTAAAAAGTTCAACTGCCTTCTACTTGGGCACTTAGAAACCCCGAGTGAACTAACACTGCAACAATTAAAAAAAATTGATTAAGAAATCTGTTTAAGCTACACAAGCCCACTCCTCTAACTAGTCTAGTTTGACAATTATTGTTAGCAGCGCAAAAAGGGAATATAAGGAGGCTTGCAAGAGAAAAAGAAATCTGTGCCACAAAGTTGAGAGTTTCTTATCCATGTTCTATATTATGGTGACCATACAGTCTCCTTTCAGTGAGCTTACCTGTGGGCCAGCACAGCTGATCTTGCAGACATCACAGTAGTGTATCTGAGTGGGTTTGGGTGGCTGCTTGGGTCGAAGCTGCTTATTCTGGAATGTGGGTTTCTTAGGGAAAGCGTTTCCTGACCAGGCAGCTGTTGCTGCCACTGCTGCAACTGCCTGCTTCTGCTGCTGCTGCTGTTGGTAGTAGCTGGAGGCTGCTGAGTACACAGCTGCTTCATAGCCCGAGTACGACGTTCCTAGTCAAAAATAAATAAATAAAAATCTTGTAGTCTTTTTATTTGCTGTAGGATTCAATGCTTTTTTTTCTTTTTAATACACAAATTCATTCCAAATGTCACATCTAAGCATTTCACTAGTAATTTACAGAAAAATATAAAATCAACTCAGATTCTAGAATACAGACTCCAATTCAATTACATTCATTCCAATTTGTTCCTATTTTGATACAATGAAGTTAAATCATTTTATAATACCAAAACTACCTCTTAACATTGCCATGATGGTAAAATTTCAGAACCAATAGCAGTAGTAAGAAAAATGTTGAAGGTAAATTTGGAGATATAATGTTCTTTTTCACAAAGACAAAAAAAACAAAAACAAAAAACAGTGTGATAATTAATAATTACTAAAATTAGAGGTAGAACCAATTAGCTATCTCAGCACCTATTCAGAAACCGAAATAGGTGACAGGAAGAGTTGGTTGTATTGATTTCATAGTTTGAAGTGTATAACAGATTCAGTTGTTTTAATTTCAAAAACTACTTAGACTCATCTAAGCCTGCATGATATCAGAAAAATATGTAATTGCAATAGTGAGCTTATGCCATCTAGCATGTTTTCTACCTTATCACTGCTGATACAGCAGCTTTACTCATAGTTTTGAGTTTTTAGCCTTAAGATGCTTTGCCACGGTTGTAATGTTACTCAAACTCTGAAGCAGTTAGTACCATGCTTCAGATTTTATTGTTAGACTGTTCACAAGAATCTTTGCAATTTTTAAATTTCCAGCTGCACTTCACTGTTTGGTTGCTCAGTCAAGGAGATGCTGCATAAAGTTATGCACTAAAGTAGGGAGAGATGAAGACCTCAGTTTCCATTGATTTTGATTTAAATTAGAATCTAGAAGAATTTACATTTTTTGATTATACTGAAATTTGAAACAGCTACTGACAGAAAACTGGAAAACAGTACTGTTTCCAATACATTAGCATTTTTTAATACTAACGGGTTCCAATGCCCTGAATATACAGTGCATCACAAAAGTGAGTATACCCCTAACATTTCTGCAGATATTTAACTAAATTTTGTCATAGGACAACACTGACAAAATGACACTTTGACACAATGAAAAGTAGTCTGTGTAAATTTATTCTTCCCTCGAAATAACTCTATATACAGCTGTTAATGTCTAAACCAACAGCAACAAAGTGTCGCAAGTGTCATTATTGTCCCATGAAAAGATATTCTTCAATATCTGCAGAAATATGAGGGGTGTACTCACTTTTGTGATACACTGTATTAAAGTCAAAAACTACTGCACTCGACAAAGCTTTGTCAATTTAAATAATACTAGAGGTGTGCCGATCGATTTTCGTGAAAAAGTGCATGATCGGTGATCGGCAATCATTGGCTCTTGTTGCCAATACCGATCATCTCATTTCCCAGCCTGCCTGTGCAGCTGGTCTCCTCTTTCCTTCACTCTGCGCAAACGCGCAACAACAAATCTTAAGCGATGTGCAACTATAACGCACTGAGTGAATGGGGAAGTTTGCGTGTTGCGGCGGAAAATTGAAGCAGTCAAAATGCATCAACACAACGAAGCTAATATGACATAAAAACAAAGCCATACTTGACGGAGTTTGGTTACATCGAGGCTCACTGCAGTAAAAAAGACATACGGAGGATCAGATAGCAGGTAAAGCAGCGCACAGCTACACTCACCCGGATTAGCATGACGGTCAGAAAGCTAAACAAATAACCTGGAAAATAATTTAAGCCTTCGCGCTGCGATGTAAGACGCTGGTTCTGCTCTCGCTGTTGAACCGCTGCTACAGACGGAGCTTCGCTTCTGCTCCACCTGGTAGTGACTCTCACACCGAACCTGCTTAAAGCTGCAGCATCTGACTTAAAAAAATGCATTTTACCTACGTATTAAAACTTTCGCTGTCCTAACATGAGACAGATAAAAAGTAATCGATCTCCTCCCTGTTCTGCATAATTACTCCACTCAATCAGAGCTAGCAGTAATCAGCTAGCCGCCATGCTATCAGGAAGTTTTCATTCAGTAACTCTGGAGTGTTTATTGTAATGGATCCTGTATTTGCCTTTGAATGTTGAGTTTTATACTTGAACTTTTTGGCAATGTTGAGAGGTTTTATGCCTTCATATGTTTTCAGTCTGTTAAAGATAGTATTATCAATAGCAGTACAATTTGCACAATGCCTGTTTTGTTTAGTTTTCTTCTTGGAAAAAGTTATTAAAAACAAGTTTTGTCTAAATTAAGGTGAATTCATGGTTCCTTTTTCCACATAATGTAACTGGTAGGGTTTATGATAAAAAATAAATAAATAATTATGTGATCGGTATCGGTGATCGGCCCTCATAAGTGATCGGTATCGGTATCGGCAGGAAAAAACCTT